CTCTGTGTCACACAGTGGCCAGAAATACCAGGTGCCATCCGGAGGTCCACCAGTGGGGCCATAAGAACATAAGAGACGCCAATGTTGGATCAGGCCAAAGGCCCATCCAGTCCAACACTCTATATCACACAGAGGCCAAAACCCAGGTGCCATCAGGAGGTCCACCAGTGGGGCCAGGACATTAGAAGCCCTCCCACCGTTGACCCCCCCCCCAAGCACCAAGAAGACAGGGCATCACTTGCCCCAGAGCCCCTATCTATACCTTGTGGCTAATAGCCACTGACGGACCTCTGCTCCATATGACTATCTAATTCCCCTTTAAAGCCGTCCATGCTTGTAGCCGCCGCCACTTCCTGTGGCAGTGAATTCCATGTGTTAATCACTCTCTGAGTGAAGAAGGACTGCCTTTTATCCATTCTAACCCGACTCGACTCAGAGCCGCCACTGAAAATGGTATCCCTGTGTTGAACTCTGCCCTTTCTGCCTGTAAGACACTGCGTACAGTTCTAGTCACTCCACTGCACCTCCAAATAGATTTTATGGCATTGGAAAATGTGCAGAAAAGGGCAACGAACACCTTCCCTATGAAGAAAGGTTAAAGAGGTTAGGGCTCTTTAGCTTGGAGAAACAATGGCTGAGGGGCGAAATGATAAGAGGTTGACGAAATTATGCATGGGAGAGAGAAGGCAGAGAAAGAAGTACTTTTCTCCCTTTCTCACAATACAAGAACTCGTGGGCACTCCATGAAATTAAGGTCCAGTAGGCTTAGAACAGATAAAAGGAAGTACTTCTTCACCCAAAGAGTAATTAACATGTGGAATTCACTGCTGCTGGAAGTGGTGGCAGCTACAAGCACAGAGAGCTTCAAGAGCGGACTGGATAAACAGATGGAGCAGAGGTCCACCAGTGGCTATTAGCTGTAAGGTACAGATGGAAAACTATGAGGAATTTCAGACAGGCGATATATTCCGGAAGAGGAACGGTTCCCAAACGGTTTCTGGTTCCCTTCCAGAATATATTTGTCATTTCATACATAATCGCTTCTGTCCTGTTTAGGAAACAGGGCTGAAGCATTTTACCTGTCAACCGCTTCCAAGTACTCCTCAGTTTCCTCTCCCGGTTCTGATGCGCTTTTCCCCGCCGTTTTTCGCCCGCACGGGCGATCTCCGGCTTTTTTTTTTTACGTTTGCGTAAAAACAGAATAGCATAATATCAATCTCATTGGAATGCATGGAGTGTTTTTTATACTGCTATAGCGCTCTAAAGCGAACGTTTTAAAAAAAAAAGCCGGAGATCGCCCACATGGGCGAAAAACGGTGGGGGAAAAGCGGGAAAAAGCGGTGCAGTCTGAAATGGCAAACCGCTTCAGATCCAGCTCTTTACCGGAAGGGGAAAGCCATGTGTGAAATGGCCCTATACCAGTTCACTTCAAAACGGATCATTACCGGCTTGAAACCGGGTGAAACTGGGTAATGTGAAATTCCCCATTGTCTGAGGCAGTGACGCTCTGTATTCTTGGTGCTGGGGGGGGGAACAGTGGGAGGGCTTCTGGATTTCTGGCCCCACTGGTGGACCTCCTGATGGCACCTGGGTTTTGGACACTTGTGGCACAGAGTGTTGGACTGGATAAGCCACTGGCCTGATACAAGATGGCTTCTCTTACGTTCTTATGTTCTTAAACTAACCTGCCTCATGAGATGTCATCGCATTCAGTATTTCCATACGCTCCACTGATGGAAGTCCAGGGCCCAGGCTGCAAATGGTCAGGTCCAAGGCAGGAGACTTCGAACCAGCCAGTTGCAGTACAGGCCCGGGAGGGGATAGCTGTGTCATAAACCCGCCCTGAGTCTATGTGTCCTTACGTGCATGTTGCGTGCATGTAAAGCGTGTTTCCTCCTCGTTGTGCCGCCACCCCAAGTTAAAATCTAGCCTCCCGCAATACAGTGCCTTGAGGGATCCCAGTAAAGGCTGCCTCTGAGCAAGTACAAAGTGCAGAGCTTTCCGATTACTTCAGCCCGTTCCGTGTGTGCAAAGGACTTCACATATCTGAGTGTGAAGAAGTGACCTAAGGTGACGTGAGGAGAAGTTTGAATCACAGTTCTTAAACAAGAAAAAAGAGTATTGCTACAGATTGTGCTAGAAACACAGAAAAAAACAGCTTATCAAGACTAGCGGTTACAGATCTAATGAAAAGAACATAAAGCATAAGTCTACGCTAACTTAACAATGTAGAACAGTTACGTCTGACCCCTCCCTGGCTGTTGGTGGGGAAAATGTTCCTCCAGACCACCCGCCATCTGCTCCCTGCAGAGGAATCTGGCTCCCAGGGTTTGGACAAAGCACTTGTGCAAAACATCTGAACAAAGACCTAACGGGTGATTCAGCCTTTTAATCCTTCCTGCCCTGTGTAAGTGGGAAACTTCCCCCTATAGAGATTTAAGTGACTTGCCCCATGTGGGAAGATGCACCTCAATCTCCCTCCAAACATCCTCAAGGGATGCACCCCAATCTCCCTCCAAACATACTGGAAATCTCACAGATTTCCATATCCAGATCATTTTTGGTGTCGTGGTTAAGTGCACAGACTCTAATCTGGGAGAACCGGGTTTGATTCCCCACGCCTCCCCTCACAGCTGCTGGATGACCTTGGGCAAGCCATAGTTCTGGCATAGCAGTTCTTGAAAAAGAGCAGTTTCTGTCAGAGCTCTCTCAGCCCCACCTACCTCACAGGGTGTCTGTTGTGGGGAGGGGAAGGGAAAGGAGTTTGTAAGCTGCTCGGAGACACCTTTGGGTAGTGAAGGGCGGGGTATAAATCCAATCTCCTTCCTCTTCCTCCTCCTCTTCTTCTTCTTTTTCAACAGCTATCCATCCTGCCTCCCTGGCAGTTAGGCAAATGGTTATTTCCACCCAGAAAACTCATCTCCTGCGCTTAGACCTCTTTGTGCATTTTATGGGTCTCTTCTCTGAGAAAATAAATGGCTTGTAAGGATTCAAGGAACTCCCCGGTGCCCTTCGAAACACCTTATATCTCTGAATCACAACAGACTATACCTTGTTTGGGACAACAAAGTACCTTGAGCCAGCCCTGTACGTCTAAAAGAACCTGCTCCATGCATTAATGAGCCCTAAATGTGAACTGCACACAGAGACTGTGAAATAAAACTGAACATCTGTTTACCTTCAGCAACTGTTCTGTTGCGGCGTCATATTTCTCATGAAGAAGAGCTTGCAGTTTTTGAATGGTTTCTTGGTATCGGGCCACGTCATCCGAAGTCAGCTCTTCATAAGGAGCATCCAGTATGGAAAACTGCAACTTCTGAATTAACTACAAAGACAGCACACCTTCTAGGTTAATTTGAGAGCCAAACTATAAATTATGGTGAACAGGGGTCCAGCCTGTGGCTGCCGATGCCATTTTGGAGGAGACTTCTGCCATTTAAAAATTAGTATGGGCCCAGGTGTGCCTTTGCAAGTGCCAAAACAGTTGTGGGGGGCTCCTTCGGCATTTGAAAAAGCATGGGAACAAAATCGCACGGTTCTGTGACACTCCGGCCCAACCAGAGTCTGGCCCTTGTGGGTCCTGGCTTGTTTAAGTCTATTACTGAACGTCACGGGAGGCTGAAGTGCTCTCCCACTGGTTTCTAAGAGCCCCGGACCTTCCTCAGATCTGTGCAATAAAGCATACATTGCCTGTTCTGTGAAGAGAAATGAATTCAAGGGACACACAGGCCGAATTTGGATCAGAACCACAGCATACGAGGGCCTTAAGCCTCCACCCCCTGTGCCTTTTGATAACCAGAAACAGACAAGAGGCCACAATTTGTCCCACTGGTGAAACCTAGGTGTACCCCATCAGTATATGTGGAACGCTCAATGGGACAGATAGTGTCACCCCCAAGCTATTTCAGGTGAAATCTTCTCCAAAAGACTTTTCCCCACCAACTGGCCATTTGGCAAAAGAGGAGTACAGAGCAAACACTGTAGGAGATCGTTGTACAGACTTGCCTCCAGCACCCTTTTTCCCTTCTTCATCACAGTCTGAATATCGTTGTTTTTATCTTCATGCCACAGGCTCATGAACGTGTTAATTTCTCTGGGAACGGTTGGGTCTGGACTCCCATCGCAGGCCAAATAATGACCCCACTAGTAAGAAATAAGATACAAAATGAAGAACTGAAGACCACCGAAGCTTGCTCTGGAGCCTTCCTTCCTGAGCTAAGACAAAAGATGTGTGAGCCGGAGGCTAAAAAAACTGTGAGCTAGCTCACACTAACTCAGCTTAGAGGGAACACTGCTGAAGGTGTCACACAACTGAACGTGGTTTAAGGTCTTCTGCACAAAACATCAACCTAAGCTAGCCCAACCTTGTTAGATCTTGGAAGCTAAGCGGGGTCAGCCCGAGTTAGTACTTGGATGGAAGACCACCAAGGAAGTCCAGGGATGCTATGCAAAGGCAGGCAATGGAAAACCACCTCGGAACATCTCTTGCCTTGAAAACTCCACAGGGTCACCCAGGTCAGCTGCGACTATACGGTGTAGGGACAGTTTTCTCTGTGAGGCAAGCCCGGAGATTTATGTTCCCACAGAGAGATAAGGGAAGTTGTGTGCAAGGTGGCAAACATCTCCTGACTTCTCGCTGTGAGAAGAGAACTTGGCGAAGGCGGGGTTCAGATAAGAAGGTGGGCTGTCTGCACAACACATTCCTGTTATCATCGCTCACAACAGTATGCTTGTAACTTTCAATATATATGAAAGGGGAGGAGGGAGGGAGGAGGGGGGGAGAAAGGGGGGAAGCGAAGCTTAATAAAAACGCTGCGAAGTGAGAGAGCTTCGGACAGCTTCTGCAGATGTTTGTCTTGTGTCTTCTTTGAACCCTTCAACCTTCAATACGGCACTTTCCACCACCACTCAAAACATTTCCCTGACCGTTACAAATCTCCAGACCCTTTCTTAAGGCAGAACTGGATATGGCGAAGAATCACCAAAGTGACCATCCCATCTCTGCTTCTCACTCATCTTCCAAGAGCATTTAATTCCTGAAAATGTGACATAAGGTCATCATGTCATGTTTCCCGGCTCTTTGCTTCTGATGGGATGAGATGGGGAAACCACACAGCATGGTCACAGCTTTGAGCCATGTAGCCATAGCTCTGAGCCTTTCCTTCGCTGCTGAGTACCTGCAGTACTCTTAGAATTGCCCGGCAGGACTTCCTTCCAAGACAGATGAACCATTGGGGAGGGGCAGTGGCTCAGTGGCACAGCATTTGCCCGGCACGCAGAAGGTCCCAGGTTCAATCCCCGGCATCTCCAGTTAAAAGAATCAGGGAGGAGGTGTTCCCTCTAAGCTGTGGAGTCTTGTGAACAAGAATTCTACTTTGTGAGCTACTGGTATTACAGTTGTGAACGAGCGATTTGGTTACTGCATAAATTAGTTTGCTCTGGAGCCATCCTTCCTGAGCTAACACACAAATCTGTGAGCTGGAGGCTAAAAAACTGTGAGCTAGCTCACACTAACTCAGCTTAGAGGGAACACTGGAGGTGATGTGAAAGGCCTGAGCCCCCTGGAGAGCCGCTGCCAGTCTGAGTAGACTATACCGACCTTGACAGACCAAGCAGGTCTGATTCAGTATAAGGCAGCTTCATGTGTTCATGTATTATAGGGGAGGGTCCATGGCTCTCCGCTGCCAGTCTGAGTAGACAAAAGTGACTTTGATGGACCAAAGGGCTGATTATGTATAAGGCAGCTTTGTGTGTGTTCCGAATGGCAGCACCCCAGTTATTCAAATGAAGCACCTCCTTATTATTAGACACGACGATAACAACAGCTTCAGGTGGGCAGCGGGAGAGCAAGATCTGTGTCCAGTAGAACTTTAGAGACCAATCAGATATCCAGGGTATAAGCTTCCAAGAGTCAAAGTAAAATTTGCAATGAAATGGAAGACAGAAGACTGTCCTACAATAGAGATCTGGAAAGAAAGACTAGCTGAGGATGCAACATTGGCAAAACTAACCAATTATATAAACAAAAGACCGTTGAAAGAATTTCAGTAGAAATGGCAAGTTTATCCTATGGGAATAATTAACTTTTTAAAAAAGTTCTGGAATTATCTGAATATCATATTAAAGGCGATGAAGATATGGGATTACAGTTTCACTATTTTATTCTGTGTTCCATGAGTATTTAAATAATTAGTAAGAATAAAAG